CGTTTCTGATTGTCTCTCACGTCTAACAAGGAAACTTCGATATGTGTATGTACCCTCACGAGCAAACTCGGCTTCCGCTACGGGAAAAGGTAGCATGGGGGAAGGCCTCCTACCACTTCATAAATTCATTTCAAGTACTGAAAAAAATATTAAACCTAATATTGATTTTGTATAAATTCCCAAGACTAAGTGATAGAAGGCCCTCCCCCTACGTCACTTTTTCCCCTAGCGGAAACTGAATTTCCTGTTCCGAAAATACCGATTCTTGTATTAACCCACGGAAGGTGAACGTTTCTGACGACCAAATAGACTGCATCACCTAGGTCCAGACAGACCCCTACTCATCTGACTTTGGAATTGTTTCAGAACGAATTTCTTCTACGCTTCAGTCATTCTGTCAGTTAACCCGAATAATGGATGAAGTTTCTGAAATTCTAGGTCGAAATGGACCCAAACACAGCCGTGTCCGAGGTTAAGAGTTCTTGGGGATGAAACCAACCGACGCGAACCGTTTCGAAAAGGGCCAATCGCCGATGGAAATGCGAACAAGCGAAAAACTAGCTCCTCCAGGAGTCATGTTTCGTGCTAGAGTAAAGTAGGTGACCGTAGCCATCGACGCGAACGCGGAGCCTCTAGGAGCGCGTTGCACTCGACGAACAAATTATTAACAGCCCTCGACCAGCCGCCACTCTTTCACGAGTCGCCCCGATCATTGACACAAAATACTCCGCTCGCCCTGCTATAGATATACACACTGTGCAGAGGGTGTGTGAGAGGCTCGCTGATGCTGGCTACTTGGTACCAACCCTCGGACATGGACCCAACAACGTATCGCCTTTAATTTTACACACCCGAGACGTCTACACTCGAGTTCACAAGCGTCGCACTTATCGACTAGGAATTAAACTTGAAATTTTTCGGACACCAGTAGCAACTCCGAACAGAGTATTCATGAAACTTACGAGCAAGAGGTTCCAAACGGTACGGGATGAACGAACAAACTTAACACGAATTTCCGGCTGATTAATTCGAAGCTCAAACAAACGGGCAACCTTGAACCACCCCGTGGCAACTCGTGAAACGCGTTGCTGTTCGTGACACTACCAGCCAGATAATTATACTGTACTAGGTGCTAAGAGGATCGGAATCTTTTATACCCGTCGGGCAAGATTTTTCATATTCCGTTCGATAAGATAATGGTTTAACGTGGTAGCAACAATACTCCAAAAATCGTACAATTTCTCTTCCTCTAGGCGAATCGGGTTATCGTTTTTCGCGGGAAAATAATTACGTTGCAGGCAATGTCTCTCGAATGAGGAGAGTTCGGATTGTATCGCGATCGAGATTACGAAATTGTCTGTTATCGATGAGTCACAACGATAAGATCGATTCGAGGGGGAAGGGGGAGGTAATCAAAATATGACGAATTAATCGCGGCAACAATAACGGAACTTTGTTCCACCATTGTTCTACCGCTTCCCAGAAACAATCGCCCGATACAATCCATTGCTTCCTTTCCGATAACGAGTTAAGTCGTCGACACGACCGTCTACATCTACAGGTCGTTAAAATTGTAAACTAGTGAAATTTTTATGAACGACTGGTGGAAATGATTCTTACCGCTTCAGACGCTCTAGTTGCAATGTTTCGAGCGGCAAGAATCATTTGGAACGCAATGTGCACGATCGAAAAATAATCATAGGTGCTAGAAACTGTGTATGTACGCTGTCTAAAGCTCGATTCTAGTCGAGTTAAATGAACCCACCAGTTCACAGACACATTTTCATCGAGTCGATATTTCGCGGGTAATTCTGTCACGTGCCTGCTACGAGTCACGAGCGAACCGTGCAATTTCTTAATCGTTTACCGAGCACTCGGTGCAGCGAGCAAAAAGGCGACCGAAAGAAACTACGATTTCGCAAATTGACTATCTTGGAACAGGTCGCGCAACCTTATCGGACGGCTTCGAGTATTTTCCTTCCACCTAATTAACGTCACACAGCTGCTCGCACTTCCATCCACGAAGTAGATTCGACTCGAAAGTAATTTTCGTTTTGGTTCTGCCGAAAGTTTGTTCCTTTTCTCTCTCTCTCTTTTTCTCTTTCGAGACAATTGATAATTAATGTTCGTTATATATTGCTTCGTTGTTAGCGACGGAGAACTTTTAAGTTCTTGGCAAAATGCGAAGAATTCATTTTCTTCGTCACAGGTGGACGTTATTTATGACACCAATCCGGTATTTCCGTTTAAACAAACCGCCCGTCACGTGTCCGTACAGTGTTCCGTATACACGGGGTGGACCGGAAAATACGGCACGACCTGCTCTAACCTCAAAATAAATCATACAGTATAATGTTACGTTACTCTCGTAGACCTTCGTTGTGTTAAATAACATAGAATTTGTGGGATGAAAATGATTATACGAACCTACTGGTTATTCACAGGAAATGGTAATCGTTTTGGTAAATAATTCATTCTCAGGTATCAGTTTACCCTCTTTCGGTTCTATTCCTCGTGTCACCTTCTCTCTCGATCCACCCGGTATAACGTTCGAAGTTTCACGCTATGTTTATTGCTTCGTCAAAAAATTAACGTCCGCACAAACACTCGTGGCAAAACCGCGAAACGACGACGGATAGTTCGCGGGCGTTCGAAAATCACCTCGATTATTTATTTCGGGCCTAGGACCAAGAAGGAACGCTTCGGACCGCTAGAAATGACGCGTGAATAATCGCGATGACATTTTCGAACTGACATTGAGCTCCTCTAAAGATATAATTACGCGGATATATAACAATTCTCATCGGTTCCGTCCATTCCGATGACAGATCACACGAAGTTTCGAAGTCGTCGATAAAACTCCCGCAACTCCCCTCCCCTACCTTCCCCTCGAGAGACAAATGACATTTATCAGTGGAGAACGAAAATGCAACGAAATCACCACGTATCGCGAATTCGGTGCCAGCAAGTGTTCCTGCCACGCAGCTTTTTTTCTCGCGACAGCTAAATGGAAACAGACTACTCTGAAGCAACGCGTCTCGTTAATGTCGCGAAGACTTGTATCCAAACGGTCACACAGATTCCGGGATACACCGAAGACGCGGAACGTTTCGAGAACATTGTTACTAGACTATAGATTTCGTGCATCTGTAGAATACACAACCAGACGAAAATCCAGTACAGTAAAACGTTCAATGAAGTTTTAACGAACTTCCTATATTACATTTGCAATTCGACGAAGCCCTTGCTAAGGTAAACAAATTCCTGTTTGTCTTCTCTGCAATTTATTTCATGAAAATCAATGCCTGCTTAAACATCGACACGATCTAGTCACGATGCCCTAGAGAATAATGAAACTATCGTCTGGTGATGGCAGGTGCAGGACAATTTCCGTCTTGACTTTATAACCTCTCCTCTCGTCTTTCCGTTGACGTTTCACGGACAGTGCAACCTCCCTTCGCCCCGAATCTGTCAAATTTCACGAGAATGGAAACGGAAGGCGATGATCACGACGAGATCGCTTATATACTACGATCGCGAGATTATCAATGACGATACGGGACGCCCGCCTCCGAAAGAGAAGCGCTAGGAAAAAAGCCGTGAGAGCTCCGGGCTGAATCGTACTCACTCGTCTTAGACTTGTTCGTAATTCCCGTTAATGCTAGCCGATCTCGCACATTCTCACACTTTTCATGATCACAAGCTCGCCCCTCGAGGAAACACGAATTAAACGAGACCGAGCCTCCAATACGAGTACCCGAAATTTTTACAGACAAAAAAACGCTTCCTCACATTCGTCGGAACGGAGGTCGTCTGTGAACTGACGCGTCTCGATTCCAGCTCGCTGTGCAACGTCGCCGCGCCACCTGTCGGCAATCGCCCATAGGCTATTCTCAAACAACCGTTCCTATTGGTCCTCCGATCGACGCGCCATGATTTGGATGCGTTTCCTGATTGGTTGCCGTCCTGTACAATACTAGAATATCTGTCAAATAATTTCCGTTTCTTCGTTAACCAATATTTCTCTACACGAATGGAATAATTGAAATTAAAATTGCAGGAAAGAAGAATAAATTGATCGCAATTCCGTTTACTTACGGTGTAAAGTTAATAAAACTGGGTTACAGCAGATATTAACACTCTTCTCTGATTTGATAACTACCTTACTGACTACATGTCTCTCCTGCACTTATAGTTGCCAAGTAACTGAAACTTTGTAACGAAGTTTAAAAATAGATACTATTTAACAAAAGACGATCTGACCATTATAATATTAATTATATTCATATGTACGATCACATTCCGTCAAGATTTCATTCTACTTACGCACAAAACACTGCTCACACAAGAATCGAGTATATGCCCATCGAGATTCCAAACTATCGAGGATACGCTAAATCGTATTCAGTAATTATTATATCCGTACATAACGCGAAGAATTTAATTCAGTAGGGAAATGCGAAATCAGTAACGACGGCGATAAATTGTTGAAAGCGATTCGAAATCGTTGCGCGCTCCGAGGCGGGCAGTCCGTAATTCGTCGTAGCGAAGCAGACTTCCGGGACCTTAGTGCTGAAATGGCCGACGCCAAGGTTGTCTTTTCTGTCAAACGGGATCGTTTCAATGACTAGTGAAAAAGCATGTAAACATTTACGGGTGGTTGGATAAAATCGGTGCAAACGTGGGTAGATCGATGCGAGAATCGAGGATCGGGGTGTGTCCGCGACTTTAATGAACAATTACGCGAGAAGAGGCACCGGTGTCCCCGCAAGTTTTGGATCCAGCGAGAGGGTAATCCCTATTCTTTGCTGGGGGTACGACTAGAACCGAACGACTAAGAAATCATCACAACGGAGATTAACGGGGACACGATACTCGGTTCGCACAGAAACGGTGCTCAGTCAGATGATTAACCGAATCGTTTCACTGACGATTCGACGTTATGAATTCGAGTTAGTGTGCTTTTCAGTGATGTTGAGTCGAATTCTGACACGCGCGAAGCTTCTTTTGCTTTCTGATTGTGAACCAGTGAATTATTTTTCTCGTATTCGAATGGATCCGTGCCGATAAATTGCAAAGGTTGACGTTCGATTGGTTGGGAAGGCCCGTTGAAATTCGTAATTCTTCGTCGTTGTTTTGCATCGAATTCATCGCTCAAATGGTATTCTCAGACTAGCAAGAATAAACGATTAAATAATATGTAAGAGTTATAGCGCGTAGAGTGTAATCACTCGTGGGAAGCACATACTTCTTCTGATTCGATATTATTCCACAAATAGAATGGAAATATTCTATATCTTTCATGTCTGTAGACAAAGTACAATTAGTTTTATCATTGCTTTTGCTGTAAAGTTGAGTGTATAATTAATCAGACAGTTTGTTCTCTAAGCATTTGCTATTTAGTTTCTATTATAATCTTCTGTTATGCATTAGGTATATATCAAATTTCATGAGTAGATTTGTAATTATTAAAGCATTGCAAGTTTAAATGACAGTCGTGTTTTTCTATTGCTGTTGCATATGATTTTTATACAATGATTTTCTACACTTGTAGACATAGTTATGGAGGATAGTATGAGTGTTAAATCAATGGAATCAGTGGCAACAAGCGACGAATATGAATTTGTAAATGAGAAAGGCAATGGAAAAGAACAAACTTTAATTGAACCACCAATGTTAAAAATTGCCAACAATGGCAACTTAGAAGATCTACAAAATAATTTGCGCGAGGTTTGTATGCTTTACCAATATTTATGAACATAAAAGCTTAAATCTTTCTTATCTTCATTTCTATTTATGTTTTTCTAAATATTTGAACAACTGATATCCACAGGTCTTAACGGAGGACTCCAAAATGGAAAGTAATGACTACAAGATTGTAAGCAGTGTACAACAAAACCAAACAAAGCCAAAAAAAGTGGGACACAGTAAGTTTTATGTTGGCTCCTGTGTGATTGCATCGGAAAAACAAGACATTATGAAACCAGAAGATTATGTTGACGAAGGTATAAATTACTGTGAACTCCTTAAATATTAATTCTTAAATGTAAGACATAAATCACTGTTTGCACTGTAGAAATAAATTCTTTAGCCCACGATCAACAAGAATGCACCATTTTCAATGGTGTAACATACTTGGGATCAGCTGCAATAAATGCACCAAAGTTGGAATGTGAAATACAGCGCAACATGAACATACTAAATGCAGAACAGACTCCTAACTTAGGAATCAAAGTTTCCGTTTCTATACCTAGCAGTTCTCAAGGTTCTGTTGTGTATGTATAACTGAACAATATTATATCAAAGTCTTATCGTTTATATTGCATTATGTGTCACTGTTTTCTATGATGCAGTTTGTACGATGCCGCTACACAACAGCCAATTGCGCACTATGAAGTGCAACGAATCTTGTTTTATGCTCGCGGTGAAAATACTGGACCATGCGCGGCATGTTTTGCTTTCACTTGGTCTCACGGGGATACATTGGAGTCTGCCATTTATCAGTGTCATGTTTTTCGATGCGATATACCAGAAGCTGTGTGTTTATTATACTTTCTTTTTTACATAATGATACATTCAAGTCTTAATCAGAATATAAAAGTATTTCAATTCATTTTAGGTGGGACAAGTTTCTGCTTGCTTTTCTAAAGCATTTCACAGAATACCACGATCTATGACCAGTTCTTTAACTGGAAGTGATTTCAATAGCTTTAGCATTGGAAGTGAGAAAACCAACTCACGAGTATTTATTTTCGAAGTGACAATGGAAATAAAAGAAGAAGATGGGAAGGGAAGCTTTAGTACAGTTCCTAAAGACAGAAATTGTTTCAAACTTCGAAGTAATATAGCTAAACAGGTGTGCTTGAGTATTCAGCAAGTATCCAGTAAAGAAGGAGGAATTACTCTTGAAGTTGAACGGTGCTTTGGAGTTCTTGTTAGTCCTGGTCGCAACGTTAAACACAGCGATATGAGATTACTTGAAATGGTAAGGTACAAGTAAACTTGTTATGTATGCTAGCGACATAGAGTTCATCTTTGTAACATTGAATAAATAAAAACTATTGCTATCAGCAAGTCAATTCCGGCCCAACGATACAAGATAAACAATGCTATAACATATTTGGACATTGGGATCCGGCAGACCCAGCTTTGGAAACACTGAATATAGAAACTCCTAGAGAAGGAAAAATCTTCATGACAGTTGCTGTTGATTTAGTAATACGTGGTATTCGAGAACCGGTTAGGTTTATAATAGAAACATCGGTTAAGGTGTATCCACAGAACGAGAGGTTCTGGTATTTTAATAAGCGAAACCTCGTACAACAATTCTACCTGAATTCAAAAGAGGTAAGAAGAATCTGCAGAAGATGCGTAATATTCTATCGATTTAAATGGCTAACAGCTCTATATGCTTTCATGATTATCTTCTAGGTAATATCAGGGGTTGGAGTAGAAGTTCATTACGAAGTACAAAGTATAGAAACATCAGGAGAATTAGACAGAAACAGATTAAACCTTGCCCTCAATTTAGCGTCGCTGATTCGTTCACCTTCTCTAACTAGTATCGACACGCTTACACCCAAGGAAGAAATCGATTCAGGTTGCAAAATAAACTTTAAACTTAAATCATCGATAAATACAATTACAAATACGTTTTTATTTCTACAATGAAAATGTAGATGGGGACGAACCTATGTTAAGCGGTACAGGCGAAGTGTCCAAAGATTGTTCCGCGGATGAGTTGGCTAATTGGGCAGAAGTACTGGACAGTTGGCAAGTCAACGAACAACGTCCGAAACTTCTCATAAAGCTTGCGAAACTGGGAATCCCCGAAGCTCTACGTGGGGAGGTGTGGCAACGTTTAAGTAATTGCGATAATTCGCAAGAGATGATGGATAGATATAGAACTTTAATTACTAAGGTAAGTGAAAACGGCGTGGAAGGAAATAAATGCATCTTCCATGATGATAATAATCATATCACGATTCCGCTGTAGGAGAGCAGTTGCGAAAGCGTCATTTTACGAGATATTAACAGAACATTTCCTGCCCACGACTTTTTCAAAGAAACCGGTGGTTTGGGACAAGATTCTTTGTACAGAATAAGCAAAGCGTACGCGGTTTACGACGAAGAAGTTGGATATTGTCAGGGACTTAGTTTTCTAGTTGCTAGTTTGCTGCTTCACGTAAGTATTTTCTTATCCAGACTGTTGAGCTCGCAAGGATCATGCCTACAGCAATTTTAGGATATGCCTTAGGGAGTTCAATTGACAAGAGAAACATTAGGTATTTCTTGTAGATGCCGGAGGAGCAAGCTTTTTGTGTTTTGGTTAAGTTGATGTACGATTACGGTCTGAGGGACTTGTACAAGGATCGATTTGACAATCTTCATATGAGATTTTACCAGCTTAATAGATTAATAGAGGTAACCTGCACACTTGTTCGAAAAAAGTATATCTCGTTAAAGCAGAAAGAATTTACAATTAATATCGCTCTTTTAGGATCAGTTGCCCGAACTGTACAAACACTTTTGCGATCGTGGCGTAGAGACTCATATGTTCGCTGCACAATGGTTTTTAACATTATTTACAGCCAGGTTTCCACTTTATCTTGTTTTCCATATTTTGGATGTGTTCCTTTTGCAAGGACTCGACACGCTGTTTCAAGTTGCACTTGCGTTGTTAACGGTAAGACTTTCAAATGTGTCATTTTAATCTATTACCCGTCTACACATTGAGTACGTTGTAGGATAAGGTGTGTTCTTTTTCATAGTTGTGCAAAAAGGAATTGCTTCAGTTGGATTTCGAGAGTATATTAAAATACTTTCGGGTGCACTTGCCAAAACGTTGTCGAAACGAAGAAGTCTCGCGCTACGTAATGAAGTTAGCCTGTTCAGTTACATTAAAGAAACTGAAGAAGTACGAGGCAGAATTTATGACGCTCAAAGGTAACTTCATATTTTATGTTTGAAACCACACAGAACCCCCACACTAATGCCACTGTACACCTGATTAAATTCCTTGATATCACGAGGGACGGTATTGTCTCTTATATGCATGCGCGGTCTGCATAGGAACCGGAAAACATCGTCAGGTGGTTGTGAATTTATGTTTATTTACGCTGCTGAAGCTTCATACAATTTCAGCTTTGTCTCTGCAATTTCGACTCGACATTTACAAACACTGATTTATTGTTTTACGTTACCGGAATTCTGGAATTTTCAAAATGGCTTAAACGGGAGTTAACTTACGCGATCTTTTTCTATTTACTAAGGGTAGAGTAGACCAAGTAATGTATATTCTGAACTAGTCTCGATTACTTTCTTTAAGAAAACAAGGCAACCGTTTGTCAATTGTTAAATATTGAAACGAGGGTACATCACATTGATGTCTCGGTAGTGCGTTGGATAATTCTGTTACATAGTTCGTATGCATGACAATACCAAACCATAAACTGTGTCTTTCTAGTCTGACGAAGAATTACAGTGTAATTTGTTCTCTATTGTACAGTAGAGTACAGGTGGTGGTTGAATACTATGAAATTGTTAACGTTACGTAAAACATTAAGAATTTCATAGCAGGAGGTAATTTCTAATTAAAAAGAACAAACGACGAGTATAGTTATTAGAATAAAGCCATCTGAAAGAAACGTTGATCGATTATCGATAGACTAATTAAATGAAATTCAACACGAACAAATAATACTTTTGACGGATTACTATTATTTTATGCAATTTGTTTGTTGTGTGCCAGTGAACAATTTTTGTTGAATTTTTGCTCGATCTCGATTTCACTGAATTCGATATTTATACACAGCGATGCTGCAAGCTGTGTGACTGTACTGATAAAAAGCGTCAGTCCGGTGATAACTGTTCAACAGCATGAGATTTCAACCAGTTGACGAATCGCGATACGTAAACGTGTCGGTATCCTTTGTTATTGCAGTGTATTTTCCATTAGTGCTTGAGGATATCTCGTTTCAATTCGAGAATATATATATATCGCCCATGGAATTAAAAAAACCAGAGAACAGATAACCGCACAACTAGCTGAAATCTCATGACTGTTGGAATCTTACGAATACTCACCGTGCAGAATTTTTGTTCGTCGATTGGTTGTGTTCCGCTTTATCTGCGGGGTATTGTGTTCGTGAATGCCAAGTGAGTGTTGCAATCGGACAGCCGAAACGCGCTTTTTGTTCCGTGGACAAAAGTTCACCGTTCTCGAAACACGTTGCGTTCAGTGTGCAACTTTGTTCCACGAGCAGCAGAGATTTATTTGTCTATAACTTAATTTATTTTGTAACATTTTGTAAAAGTGCCACACGATTTTGCGTTTGTACAATAAAAAAAAAAAAAAGAAAAAAGAGGACGTGTCTCGTGCTTACTCCGGCTGTGTACAGACTGCTTTTGAACACCGTCTTGTGTAACACACCTTCCCCTCTTTCTTTTATACAAGGAATTATTTATTATTTCTTTTATTGGAAATAAATCGTCCGTTTAGAATACCGTCTTTTAGTCTTTTTTTTTCTCCGTCAATTTACCTGTGTTCAACCCTGTCTCCCCCATTCGTTTGTTGCTGCTTCGATTGGACACGCTGCATGCATTCAAGTAGTCGTACAACTAATACCAAACGCTTCTCTAGCTTCTTCATTCTACTAACCTACTACTAACTGTCCTGTACGATTTGTCATGGGAACTGCGATTGGGGAAAGATCTGTAGTATCTTTAAGCGTAGAAATACTTCAAATATCATTCAGAAGAATTATTTACACCGTCGTTTCGTAACCAATTAAAATTCACTTAACTTTTTTGCGACCAGTGGGACGCACATGTCCCTTACACGAGTAATAGAACAAACATCGATCTCAGATTTGGAATCCGTTAGATGGATAAACGATGAATTCTTAAAAAGTAAATAATACGGTCACGAAAGGGTTAAGAAGGCTCTTCCGGGCCGAAACGTACTGCGTTTCAAGGACATACCAGTGTTTTCGTCGCAACTTGGGCGCCGCTCGAATTTCGTTTATCAACGCTATTATTCGCACATTTATTAGTTATAGCAGGTAACGCACGCGTATCTATTTAACAGCTGTGCCAGCAGTTTAAAATTGGCTATGGTATGCTCTGCACAGATGAGTGAATGCGCAGTGGGACATCGGTATCTGGTTTTGTAAGATATCACACGCGTGACTGCCAGTAAAGTTTGAGGCCATCCGTTTTTAACATTTCACTGCTGGCGGAATGATGAGCCACATTGTAAAAGCGCTGATAAACAGTAAGAATGCGCCAACAATATTCTCGGGGTACAACGTATTCGAACGTGTCAGGGAAACCATTTTCGATCTCGAGTAAAGAAAACTACAAATTTTTATACAAGAATTTCTAAATATAAACGGCAACACATATATCGACATTAACGTACTTCAATACACGTTTACGTTTTCTTACTGCAGCATCGGACTGCTGCATTCGAATCGAAGCTTCGAGCTTGAATCTAACGCTAATGTTTTTTCGTGGATACAGAAGCACAAGAGAATGCAGACGAGTACAGTAACGAGGTGGAACAGCTCAGGGGCACGGTGGCCCGAAACGAGGAAGAGAAACAGAGATTGGAAGCGGAACTCGTCCAAGTGAAAGAAATGCTGCAACGGGAAGTGGCCAGGGCAGACGCAGAGAACCGACGAAGCAATGTTATCATTGCCGAGTACAAACAGGTATATATATATATATATATATATATACATGAAAATAAATAGAACTATATGTATGTATCAAACGACCTGTTTTTTGACTTCATACGTATTTCAGATCTGTCAACGTCTGGAGGACAATTACAATGCCGCGAAGACGAGCCTCAGTGTATTAAGGGTAAGAGAGACGAGGACCGAAACCCCAGTCGTCGGTTTCAAGGCAAACATTTCACAGAAAAATAATGCAACCTTTCAGTCGACGGTGTCGAAATGCGAGAACTGCAGGACATGCATAGTGGATTCGTCCAATGTGCTAGCGGATATTTCCCATCCGTTGGAGAACAGAATAGACCCCACATTGCACAGAGCCCAGGAGCGAGTACGCGAGCTGGAGTTGGAGTTGGCTCAAACGAAATTGGCCCATGTTGAGGCCGAATGCCGAAATCAGGTAAACACAAAAACACGTGTATCGTTCGTACACACGCTCTTTGTAGTAAGGAGAAAGACAATTATCCTGGATTGCCCGTCGCAGGATCTAACGCACCAGTTGCACGCGACCGCTTCCGAGCTTCAAGCGGCCAGGAACAGCTGGCCGTGGCTCAGTAAGACACTTTCGAGTATAAAGGAGGCTGCCAATAAAAGGGAGGTGATGACACCCTCGTTGATGAAAGATTTGAGACGGGACAGCGCGCCAGGCGGTGACATGCATCATCTATTACGCTCCCGTAACCGCGATGCTCGCGACAATCTGAAGGAAGTCGTGTGATGCAGTAAGTATCAGCTGTAGAGTGCGTATGTTCTATTGGATGGAGTTTACACGATATTGGATACATATGTTAAAGCGTCATTGCTTGAAAACAGGCGAAACGGCGGAAAAGAAGAAGGTCGTATTCGACGAGATGGGGAGCCGTTTCAGCCGCAAACTCGAACACGCAATGTACGTCCACGATTACACGTAGTATTCTACTCGGTCTGTCGAGGGTATACCACCCGTTCGTTCTACGGTATACCACTCGTCGGATTCCACACACGCGCTTGTTAGCGAAGCGGCAGCTTTATCATAAACGACACACAAATGATATTCGATCATGAGATATTTACTGTTCAAGTTTGTTACCTTTCTTTCCGAGTATACTCATTTTGTACTTGACTGTTTTTTTGTACGGCCGATCTTTTGTCGCTCGAGATCGCAGAGGGTCTTTTCTGTCCGCGGCCATCCTGCGAAACACGTTGTTCGCCGCGTGGCCGCCGCTTAGGGAGAAGGTCCTAGATAGAGGCAAGCGATCGATCGATCGCGAAATAGAACGCGTGGTTACAAGGCAAGAAGAGATTAGAAAACACACGATTAGACGTTTAGCGGTTAAGTAACACTGCGTTTTGTATGAAACTAGTCTAAGACGGGAACTATAGAAGCGCTATAGAATTCTACATTGTACATAACACACGGTACTCTCAGGCGATTTAAGAAACACGGCTGCAGAAACCCGGAGATTCTATGTCATAACGATCGCGGGAGGTCTCTGCAGTTTCGATTGCTCTTCTTTTCTCTTTTGTATCGGTCCATGACACGACACGACATTCCAAAGTACAACGCGACTCCACGTTCTGTTCTTAATTCGGACGATGTTTGACTTCCGGTTCGAAGGTTTACGCAGCTGACTCTCTGAATTGTCGCGTGGATATTATTAAGCCAACGAACAGAAAAAACGTTTATCGTTTCGCGGTGTTTAAGTTTTTGTATGTACATTTAACAACGGGACAACGTAACGTAATATAAGAACGCGTTTATCATATCTTTTTTCGATACCCAGACCAACACTTGTTTTCATTCGGTCGTTCTCGCAGAGGGAGGAAGAGGCACTGATAATGTACGCTCGCGATTTTGTAAACACTCAAATGAGTGGTATTCTTTCAGCCATTTCCCCCCCACACCTCGTTTCCACAGTGGAGTCTGCGGAAGTAAGACATGCAAGGCCATAAATTACATTAAGGCACTAATTAAGATCATTTGCGACAGAAGAGAACGGAACGGACAGAACGCTCGAAAGCACACTTGGTAGGATCGTGAAGTAGTAATTAGTGCCATTAGTTGGATGTAACCGCGTACTCGTTTTGGATTGCCCTTAACCCGCGAACCATTCGCTACGGTTTAACGTATCGGTGCCATTATCGTGGTAACGACGGTTTTTCATTTTTTTCAATGATTTCATCGAACTTTCTGTTGCGAAATAAATATTTGTCGATTAATATATATATACATACAGGATCAAGAACGAAGTTTTATGATCACTTTAGCTACTCATACGGATAGGCTAAACGATAGTTCTGCATCTTATACGAGACAAAGAATATACCTGTAAATACTAAAAAAAAAAAAAACAATATCTACACGGTTAAGCTACTAACAGATCATGTAAATGATTTTAGGATTACTACCTATGTATCACTGTACACCTTGTAATGTCATTCCACTATTATTGAAATAAAGAAAGATATCGTATCTGTCTTATTTCGGCGCTGGTTATAATTCTTTTTTTCGGGGGGGGGGGGGCAAAAATGATATTCAGGAACAGATCCCATTCGTTTCGATGATACGTTTATTTCTCTTCTTATTTGTCGAAATTCGGCGGTATCGTGAAAACGCGGTACGATATGCGGTGTTTTCAGTATATTTATAGATCTCATACGGTACATTGCAGGGATGCTTTATATCCGTCGGAGTAACGCAACAGTTTATTCGAACCGATACGATCATGCGAACACAGAAAGGAGAGGGGGGAAAAAACGTAACTTATCGATAAACTTCCTGTAAACCATACACAGGTAAAACAGCTCATCACAAATCTTACGGTACTTAATCAAACGACACGACCGAGAGGTCTTGAAAATTGTACGAAAATATATGTATATATCTTTGTTTCTTTTTTGTCCGAGTTCGATACCTTAAATGCTTCCAACATGGTAACAAGCTGGGTCTTACTAATTATGCATACAACAGCGTACACGAACATTATTGGTACCGAAGCACTATCTCACGCCTCTCCACCGAAAGACGCGCCAATTCATTAACAGATCGGTTTGCAAATCCAACCACAACGTGGAAGGTACAGCAAACGAATAACAGAAACAAAACTAAAAAAAGATCACCGCAGGAAAAACAGAAGTGGTTCGTTCCCTTGTGTATAACTTTAAAGACAAAACAAAAAAAAAAAGTTCTTCTCAACAAAATTCGCTGAACGTTATTTCTCCGAGTACATGGTATATGTCTTACATAGTAATCCGTAACATATTGTCCACCGAGGATACTTCCCTTTACAATGACTTACGAAAAATAAGTTATTTAAAAAAAAAAAGAAGAAAAGAAAACAAACAAAAGGAAGGAGGACCCCTTTGCAATTCGGTCTGATGATTATAATATTAAAGAAAAACGTAATAAATATTGTCCACAAAAAGTTATTACCTTCGTACTCTCCTTATCCGACGACTCGCGAACGTATCCGTATTAGAGGCGATATGTGGGAACCTGTCTACGTAATATAATTACTTCTCAACGGTATCACGTGTCGCCTGTCGGCCATCTCTCACTTCCTGTATCACTATTCGACGCGTTCTCACTGTCCACCGCCGGGTTCTCATTCACATCACTGTTGTCATCGTCGACGATCTCGTTCTGTTCTAGATCCATGCCTTCTTCAGAACTACTGTCGAAACCCTCGTCGTGCTCGACGTTTCTATACCTGGCGTCTCCTTCTTAATGACAACAGAAAATAATACGGACGAATGAAGGAACAGTAAAATTTAAGCGTCACCCCTCACCCTCCTAAAATGGTCGTGTTTACCTGCTCTTTCCGGAAACCTCGGATCCCTACGGTCTCTGATTTGCATTTCAACAGGATTGGCCATGTCCAGAATTCTCAGCAGCCACATCGGAAAATCATTCTCCAACGCGTAAATGTCATTCTCGTTCTCTATGTCATTTTCCAGCACGTCGATTAATGGCTGCAGATCCTCCAGTTCGTTTAACTGCGCCGGCATCATGTTGTTACCCTCCCCGTCTCTATTGTTGTTCGCCAGATCGCCGTTCTCGACCTCGACCACTTCGTGGACTCCGAGTCTAGGCGCCTCTGCGATGCTAGGCGGCTCAGAATCGGATATATGGTCTTGCGCGATACTCGATAGGTCGTATTCCGGGGTCATGTCTTGAGCAGAAGCGGAGTTCGGGTAGCCAGAATCCATCACTTCCGGCGACCAACTGTTCGGTGGTGTTTCCACCGCTTCCGGTGAAATAGGCTGCGCCTCTGGGCCTTCTGCCGGTGCATTTGTATCTTTTCCTTTTTCCACAGTACACTCGTCTTGTTTCGCGTTTTTTAATACTGATGTGGATTGAACGTTCCCCGTGGGTCCGCTGAACACAAGGGATATATTTCTTAAGTTAGCAACGTCTTTGGCGTAAGGACGAGAATTCTCTGTACTATCTACATTCTCGTAAATAGATTTTTGTAAATCTGATACCCTTTCAGTCTTTCGATTCTCTTCCTGGTGAACGAGAGATTCCTGATCAGCTAACGGAAATCTTTTATTATCACAATTCATTGACTGCGCGTGGCTGATACTTGCATTGTTACTTGAACAATTCGTTACACATGACTCTTCTGTCGATCGACTATCGTTATTCCATGTGAAATCTGCTATCGATAGACTGCTCCCGGTAAGCGTAGCGTCATTAGAATAATCCATCGCATCGTGGTCGACTGATAAAGTTTGGACAACCACTTTGGACGTGGAAGCCTCGTTTTCATTGTGCCGTTCGTCTACGACGCTACAGGGTACCGTTGATGTAATATGCGTATTAGTATCGTTATTATGCAAAAACGCTTCACTACTACCTTCTAATGTATTATTGCTACTGAGTCTTGTGAGTTGAAATCGCTTTATTGTACTTGACGAATCGTCGATGTCTCTACCTTCGCAAGGATTCAGGGATCGCCGTTTTTTACTAGTCGTGTTCACCTTTAACCCGACTTTCGGTGAACTCGTGAACTTTGGTTGTTTATCGATTATAGAACTAGTAGTAAGAGATATGCTGCTGTTTAATTGGAACTGATCCTCCATCAAGGGGTTATCATCTTGTACACTTGTACCCGCGTTTGTACAGCTATTTACAGTTTCAGAACCAGAATCTTCGCTTTCCTTGTACGACTTGTTTAAATATATGCTATGTATGTTATGTTGATCGTCCAAGTCATTCGTCGACGATGACTTCTTCTCTTTAGACACGTCCATCTGTTCGAAGGAATTATTTAACATCCAATAACCGCTCATACTTTCATTTAACATGCTGTCGTTCTTCGAATGCTGGTTCATTTTAACAGTTTGCAGAAGATACTGGTCGGGCGAAGTAGACGCACGAGATGTCGACATATACGCTTGAAAATCTAACATGCGACTGAGCTTCTGCGCGCTGCTCGACATCGCGGCCTCTCGTGTGCTCGGGGAGCGTATTAAATCGCCAGATGAATATTCCTTTATATCTTTCAATTTCATGCTGCAAGAAGAGTCGGATAATACCGCTGATTCGTTTAAATCCGATGGAACGCTTTGATTAAATGAATCGTTTAGATCGTCTACGCTCATACGATCGGTGTTACTAGAAATCGAGGGATTTAGTTCTAGATTCTCGTTGCCGCTAACTTCGGTATGTTTTTCTAAAGGTTCAAAATCTCTCCTAGTTTCAGAGACACTATCTAATACCACGTTTTCTCCGTCGTAGAGATATGTATTGTCCTCGACGATAGAATTATTCTGCGGGATCACGATACTTGGTTCTTCATCCCAGTTTTCATTGTCCCAAATCTCCCTTTCTAAGTATCTAAACGAATTCGCAGGTGCTCCTGGTTCTACGTCCCAATCATCTTCATCCGTGGTAGTGTAACCACTGGACCAACGTGCTCCTTCTGCCACACTGTAATCTGAAAATACTGTACGCGGTGGTACCAATACAACCGGTCCGAATTCGCGACTCGCAATCGACCAACCGGCTTCTTCTAAGATTGTTTGCAATGCATCTATTGAAATGTGAAAGGACTTTAACATATCCAACAGCTTCCCCAATGGTACTTCTTCTTCCATATCGACATCTTGATAGGATAACTGTCGGATATAATATGTAGCTTCATCGAGAATCTTCTGCTCATCCGACCGATTATCTACGTGGAACGGATATTCGTATACCGTTACAGTTTTAAATAAACCTTCGACACTTAAACCGTAACAATCGTTGTAATCGCTAAGACGATGAAATATCGCCATTTGTGAACAAGCTCCTAAATGTTCTGTGCCCTCAGGACCGTTGCAAATGCCATCAAAGGTTACTGCATAATCTGAGTACCTCGAAACTATATCTTCTGCCCTATATGTAAGAATCGCGCGTTTAATAACATTATGAATATAGATCTTATAATTAGGAAAAAGCTGCCATTTAATTACCACTCTTGAAATTGTTGTCTAGTCCACTCAAACTTATGATCAGGATGTCTGAATCCAGAAAAATTTGGAAACAACACATTGAAATCTGCATTTGGAGTTGTTATTATCGCTACTTTTGGTTTGATGAACCCAAAGACATTATAAGGAAAGTCTCTCAGAGTGTCCGGGTATAGATGTTCGATCCTAAAGGGTCAAAATATTTGTTGTATCATCTATAGAATGCAAATGTTCACACAGTTATCATTACTTTGCAAAGTTAAAGAATAACCTACAACTCTATGCAAACGACGGCGTCTGTCTTTTCTAGCTTTTTATCATTGTGAGTAACACTGCCCTCGCATATTTCAATTAGAAGAGGTGTTGTTCTGGCACGTATATATTCAGAAATTAATGGGGCACCCTTTTCTTTTCGACTTTCTAAAATTGATCTATCAATATCCACGCATAGAATTTCCTCTATGCCGGGTGTGTTTTTCAAATAAACTAAAAAATCAAGTTCAGCGCACCCAAAATCAACGACCTATAAACAAACACAGAAAACATTTTACCACATCGAAGACGGACGGTGAATATGTTGTATCGATACGGATAAGATTAGACAGACACGTGCTTCACAACAATGTGTAACATACATTATGAATCATTTAAATGTCATTAATAACAAAGAAGAATCTACGCGGCAACCTTGTCGGCGAGGAGGGACGGCGGAATCGAGCAAAGTACCTTGCGTAATTTTCCTTGATACTTCGGACTGTTGAGTACATCGCTCACGGCGACGTACCTCTGCAGATACGCTGGTGGGAAAAATCTTACTGATTTTTCCTCATAATCTTGAGGTGCTTCGGGATCTTTCATCATGTAATCCCTTTCGGAAATCTCGAATCGTTTCTTCGTATCGGTCACGGCATCATTTATACCCTTCCGTTTATTGACATTATAGTTTTGATATACAAACTTTCCGAGAAGATAAAGAACGTGGAACAGCACGATGATCATGTCAATAACGAAAATCAATTGCAATTCTTATCACTGATCACCTTTTACGAACGCATCCCGGTCTGCTTCCCGTTGTGCGTAATAGCAGCCATATTGTTTTGTTTTGACGAGCCGCGATCCACGAGTCGTATCCTATTGGCTAGAGTGTTTTGAAAGTGACCAATTGTTAGGAATGGCGCTACAATTCTTTGTTCGCATCTATAATCACACAACGATGATCGAAATATTAGTACTTCTCGAAGCGATTTTTGATTGAAAAATTTTATAACTCTTCGAAACAACGAATTGATTCAGCTCCAGAATTCTTAATAAACTTGCAAAACCACGAGACTATCAGTTTACGATTAATGTGGCTCCACCTAGAATAACAATCCGATACTAGTTGACCAATAGCTTCAGCGTTTTGCCGTAGATGGCAATGCCTGTGTCTTTAACCACATTTTTAAAACGAGCTCTATTAATTAAAAACAAATCGGTCATCGGTACATGAATCTTATTGCAATTGCATTTATAATAGGAATATAACCTTTATTTCAAAAAGGCATTTCTAAAGTAACGTACAAATAGAATATAAACGTTAAGAAATATAGCACATAAATATAATGTATATTTAAACGAAATAAAACAACGTTACATATATACATTTATTACGTTATTTGAAAAATATTGATTCGCTCTGAAAATTTATGAACATTTTCGAAAACTTTGTTCCTGCTTTGCAACTTCGTTAATAAACTGTAACTTACCTCCAACATACATAGATGAAATAGGAGAATGTATACAGAGTAGCTAGTTATTGGTGATACAACCAATAAGGAGAAGATTCTTTTTTCTCTGATTGTAACATCAATAACGAGGCACCCTTGTATAACTATATTACATACTTTGAAGTGGCAGAGACCAGCCTTGCCGCAGCAAAAAAACAGATATATTTGATCGAAACGCAATCTGCTTCAAATTATTCAGATGTTTGGACGAATGCGTACATATTCGTTTCATAAATAAATACGATTAAATTGGTACCGCAGGGGTTTCGGGACAAGAAAATCTTATTAACCATTACATAGGAACTGCTTGCTGACCGCTCTCTTGTAAATGAAGAATCTTGTCCGATGACGTTAAGTAAGAAGTCATAAATCAATCATCAAATATTATTCTGTCGTTTTTACTGTCTTGTCGACGATTTTCAATGTTGTCGCCGTAACAAAGAACCGGTTAAAACATAGTTCGGTTTTTATTACACGCTTCAAGACAAGAACTTTTAGTTTGGCTCTCATTTTCTATTTGCAGCGGTGTGTAAGGTTTTTTTCTCAGTAGAAAATGCGATGACAATACATGGTGAGTCGCTTGGGTGACGACAGCACACAATCACATATCACTGGGGAGAAATTACGAATTTATTTGTACAAAAAAAAAAAAAAAGAGTTGTTCAACGGAACGAAAGATAGTAGTGGTCACAGTTCTTTCGATAGTGTGATGCAGTGAATTCGATTAAAGTGTGTATTCCACAATATACAGCGTACTCGTAACATGAAATATAAAACTCTCATCATCATCAACTATTATATATACGTTAACTTTTTTTTCTTCGAACATGGTCAACATATAAATATACAGTCATCACGTTAAGTTAAATGTATATCGATACAAGTACATATACAGCGATTCTATACACAGTATAAGTAAAAGATACCTACACATACGATGTATGATTTTGTTTCTTTTGTTGTTCTGTTGTTGTGGCGTCTCGTTTTGACGCTTTCGACACGTACATAAATGCATACCACATGAATATGCTAAGTATATATATATATGTGTGTGTGTGTGTGTTTCTGTGTGTTGTGTATATATATATATCCCGGAATATATCTCGCTAATACAATGATACAAAACGTTACGGCGAAATCCGTGTCTGTTCACGCATGGATCCGCATGATTCCTTCTTTTGTCTATCTCTATTTTTTTTTTTTTAAATATTTTGTTTGCATTTTTTTTCCTTTATAGAAATATACATTTACCAATGGGATGGTAGGCGGACGCGCTACCCGATTAGAAAAAGAGAACCGAAGTACAAGAATGAACGAAAAAATATATATATATATATATATGTATGTATATCATATACACATCGAAAAAGTATTAATTTACACGAATTACAAAGAACGGAGTATTGGTTCAACGGACAATGTCTCTCTCTTTCAACCGCGACACGCTTCGATTGCTTAACGATAGAGCTTTTGGCACTTATAGCGAAGAATTCTGGTAGACTTTAGAAGAATCAAAGGGGATCATCAATGATATACCGTGGTCGTCGCGTATCTTTTCCGAAGATCGATGAGTCTTTAGGCCAACATCGACGTTGTATATGTATATGCGTGTTATGTATCCATTGACTGTTCGGCCAGATCGGCCGATCGCAAGGAAAAAAGAAACATGTACGGAATAGTTTTTTCTTTTTCTTTTCTTTTAGGAACATACAGAGAAACATCCGTATCGTTCTCCGTCTGTTGGTCAGTCTCCAGCCGCCTCTCTCGATTTGGGGGAAAAGGGGCCTCTCTCTCCTTTCTGTTCTCTTCTGAGGTTCATCTCGACGAGGAGGAGGAGGAGGAGGAGGAATGAATCGTCTCCTCCCGATTGATCTATCTCTCCTCGTCGAGTCCCCGACAACAATCTCTCTCTCTCTCTCTCTCTCTCTCTCTCTCTCTCTCTCTCTCTCTCTCTCTCTCTCTCTCTCTCTCGTGTACGGAGTGTACCACGACCAGACACTCTCTCACTCGTGTGTTTGTTCCTCTCTTCGCCACGCGACTCCTAAAAAGTGTGTCGTTGTCGTCGTCGTCTATGTCCTCTGGGCTGCTCAGTCTTATCATCTGATGGTGCACGGTCATCCCGGTCACGTCATTTGCGCCGCGTTGAAGCCGCGTTTCCGCGGCGTCGAGAAATGTTGCGGTGGAGTGGCGATCTGGTATTGTTGCACGTACGGATTGTTCCGCAGCACGTTGCCGCCTGGGGAGCCGGCCGAGTACTGGGATGGTACCGTGATTATGCCGGTCTGCTGCAAATACTGTTCGCGATAGAGCGCCTGTTGCGTCACGTACTCCCCGTTCACGGGACTCTGGCCGGTGTTGTAATGGACTTTCATGACAGAGGACTTGGCGGACGGTTGTTGATTCGCGTTGCACTCCTTGTAGCTGTCCTGCTGATAACGAAGACCGCCGCCAGTCGGCGAGGAACCAGGCGGTGTCACGTTCTTCAAGCTCTGCGTGGGACTCTGGGTGATCGACTCCAACACGTGTCTGGGCATGTTCGGCGAAGGACAATGATGGGACTCGTGGAGACCGTCGACCCTGTTCGCGTTTCTCATGTAGATCGGGGCGCTCTCCGGTCTACCGCCAATTATGTTTCGCATTCCCTCGCGGTCCTTCGCGGTCAAACTTTGCCGGGGTGCGTACGAAATTGAATTACGGGTGCTCCTAATAGCGGTCGGCGACGCGTTGCTCAAATCGGTCATGCTCGACCAGCTTACGCTCGCTAGCTCCCATTGACGGAGAAGACTGGTGACACGCTCAGCTCGGGCTGTCGTGTCGAGACTCTCGTCGTAGTCCGGGCCCTGGAAAAATCGCGGTTACGAATATGAGAGAACGGATTTTTGTCTTTATCGGTCGAGGATCGTATATGAATGGTTAGAGGGTTCTTGGCTTTCCTTTACTTCGTTTTGTCCAGGTTTCGAGAAGTCTCTCGTCGCAACAGGAATCCAAGAGGCAGATGGAGAGAGTGAGAGGAGGGGGAGATACGGTGGGAGTAGTCAGACACTCGGTGACCTTGTCTGGCCAAAGTCTTCCGCCTCCAACGCGCAACACGTTTGCCGCTCGGTTTCTTCGCCGCGTAGATAAGTAAACGTTCGCTACGTGTATGTATATATAATATATTATATATGTACATTATATACTTCGTTGACAATTACCAATTTGGTACCGCAAATGAGCCGTGAGAACGGTAGTCAAGTATGACCGATACAATGAAAAAGAGAAAGAAAAAAGGACGAAGATAATAATCGAGTACCAGAGGAATGGAAAACAAGGCCGTTAGACATAGTCCAGAGCCAATGAAAATTCTGGAGAACCAATTCGACTTCTTCCCCGCCGTCGATAAATGTCTGAAACCGTTCAACCAGGGAGAAATGGACAGACCGACCGACCCACCGACCGCTACGTGGATTAATATTATTATTGCAACAAGGCTGCCCCGCAAGGTCAACGAAGCCTTAAGGGGACGTCTATTTTACATGGCCTGATTCCAACGCATTCCGCCGATGCGATAGAATACACGCGCATCCGCGTAATTCGAGGCTGATCCCGATCTTTTCCATAACCGGGATAAAAGTGTCGTTACGTGGCGGTGGTGTGCGTGGGAAAAGCGGCATGCCGCGCGCCCGACGCAAGGACGAGACCACGGGCGAGCGCTTTTTAATGCTCCGTTCTACGACTCGTTCTCAACGGTTACCAATTAGCGCAATGTATAGAGCCAAGTACACCGGGAATGGACTTTGGAGATCCAACGATCTCGGAGATTCGAAGTCTTTAGAGATTCGACAATCTTTGGAGATTCGGTACTCTTTAGATTTGGTACTCTTTGAAAATTTGGTACATGTAGACTCATTGGAGATTCGGTAGTCTTTGAAGATTCAGTAGTATTTGGAGATTCAGTATTTGGGGATTCGGTACTCTTTGGAGATTCAGTACATGTAGACTCATAGGAGATTCGGTAGTCTTTGCAGATTCAGTAGTATTTGGAGATTCAGTATTTGGGGATTCGGTCTTTTAGGATTTGGTCTTAGGCGATTCAGTCATTGAAGATTCAGCCTTTGGACAGATCGGGTGCAAAGTATTGGACATAAGGATACCAGGTTCGAAGTTCTTTCGTATCCAGATATTGGGTAGCTAGATACCAGTCTTCGGGACATATTCTCTTCCACTGGCTGCCTCCCACATCAGAATCATATTCCCCACCCGGAAAGTCTCGTATTGTACAGAATTCAATTTGCCATAGTGAATACGAGAAACGGGAGAATCTGTCCTCAAAAACCAGCCCCGCTATGCGTTTTCATTCGAAAGAAATGTTTGTTTCCACCTGTTGAGGAGGGGGGGAGGGATTGACAAAGATTTGACTGGGGACTATCGAAGAAGCAACTTACATTCTCGATCTTCTCATCAAGCATCTTGAAGAAGTCGAGCTGACTGGTGGATATCTCTCTGAAAAAATGGAAAACAAGACAGTGATCAGTTTTACTTTCGCAGTATTATGAACAGGGTCGTGTTCATCTTACACAACTAGAAACCGTATAGAGTAGAATTCAACGAACCACAGGTGTGTGTTCGGGACACGATTCTATTTGATGGATCACGGTTCCCGTGTGCCAATGAAGTATACACATTGTAAAAAAAGCATACGACACAGTGGTAGCGTTCGAGGAGCCGTTGTTTTCGCGGTTATTTTAACGCGGCACTATTATTTATTTGGCAAGTCTATTCGCGGAGCACAGAGGTATGGTGGATGTAAATAACGGATTATGCAACGTGAATCGACCGACGACCCAGAGACAGATATTTCGAAGCTTCAGTCGGAGGGAACACAGTTCCATGGTCCTTTCTCTATAGTAAAGACCTCGACACGTGTTTTTTTTTTTCAACCTTCGACAGGCACGGTCGTCGTCGACACTCGTTCCATGCTTCTTAATCGACAATTAAATATTCATTTTCTAGAATCAATGATTAAAAAAAAAGAAATTGGAACCTACGCTTGTTGCAACAGAGGACCGTTCCCAGGCGCGCTCGGCTTCTTCTTGTTCTTATCGCCGTTCCCGCCATTCTGCTCCTCGTTTCGGTTCACCTCGACCCCGTTGTTGTTCGTCTTGTTGTTCTTCGCGGCACCGCCGTTCCCATTCTTATGTTCCACGGACGCGGAGCCTGAAACCAGTAGAGAGTGCCGCCTGGCGTCAGTAATGAAACAACGGATCTGTCACGTGTGTGCACGCACGCACATTGGTGAAGAAATATGTACATATGTAGTAGGTATACATATAAGCAGAGAATGACTTCGTCGTGAAACGATCGAAAGGAATTCTCTCGGTTAACCCCTGGAGGTCGTGCCGCGAATTGTCCAATTTGCAAGTTCAAGGCAAGGTTGTTGGTGTCGAGAGCGGGTGTTCTCCACCGCTGTGCTGTTCGAAGCGGAAAATACTAGAGGGGAGGGGCACACAGATGCTTTCACAGCGACGAGGGAACTACTCCACGGAAAGGTCGCGAACTCGAGCGTGTATGTGCGTTGCTTAAATTAATCTTTATTCGATATCGCTCCTAAATAGACGGGAAAACAAGCATTCGGCGAAGAGAACGACGAAGTTCGCTGGGGGTATCGGGCAATCTTTCCGAGCGAGTTCAGAGAATACGGTAAATTCTAGATGAGTGTTCGACGTCTCCTCGTCACTGAATATTAAATATTTCATAAACTAACGGCCACATGCGACTGAAACAAATATCATTGGCTTTAGAATTCCAAGTTCTATCACTGCGAAAATTGTTCGAATACGAAACAAGGAATTGTATTGGTTATTTTAATATATATAAATACAATATTATATATTGGTGCATCCTCCCTGTATGTAAACATACAATATTAAAAAGAGTTTGTCGTTGTCGGCACGAGTGCAAGGTTCAAGATTGCGCTCGTAAACACGGTTAATCTTATCTGCGAGAGCTGCATGACACTTTTAAGGGCCGTCACACTCGGGCTCGAGTCCAAGCGGGATACTCGATTAAAATAGACCGACAGCTGGCTATAAATGACACCCGTGGAGGGTTCGACACAGTGAGCCTGGCACCTTACACTCCGTCACGTATTCTATGTACGAGGAGGTTCATATAAAAGGATCAGAGTTCGCGCTAGAAAATTGCAACCCGAGTGAGTCGTGTTGTTTCGAACGGAACCACCACGCACAGGGAAAATCTGGTTGCTCGCGTATTGTATCAAAAAAATCGGTAGAGACATCTCGCCGTAATTATGAAACGTTCCGTTCATTCGTACGAAAGTTCTTGCGAATCGGGTCGATTGTCCGAGCTTGGCCCAGAAGTCGCGTGACGCGTCTGTACAAAAGTGGAGTCACAATAAGCTACGGCCCCTCGTTTCGTTCATTCTGAAAGTTGGATCGCTTTATTCCTGTACCAAATAAAGGCTCCAGGGCTAAAAATTGCCCTAGGCATCATCGTGAAATCTTAGGGCCTTGAAACACGTTGGCCCAAATCAGAACTTAATCCTCATCCGTCCCTCCTTTTTCCAAACTTAATTTTTTCCCCCTGGTGTCAAATTGACCCAGTGATAAAAATTAATACAACGAAGTAATAAATAGTTAAATTTGCAAATTCTTTACCTAGACATGACAAAATAACGTCATTACGTAGGAGAAAACTGTGTCAGATGGACACAAGGGACGGATGAGGATTAAACTACAAGAAGAAATTGGGCGCTAATGCGTTAAAGAACAATATATACGCGCGTGCAACATAATAGGCAAACGTTTGTTATTCAACGATCATCACGCGGACGTGCGTTAATAAATAACAAACGGCGTCTGACAACTGTCAGGGGGAGTGCTATCGTCGTGTCGAGGCAAAGACCGATTCCGTACGTTTTTCCGCGTCTCTGGGAAACAAGTCACCCGCGAACTAACACGACTGAAGGCCTCTCTCGATCGGTAATCAGATCGACTCCCGGTATCTGTGTCGTTCGTGTCGATACGGTGACAGGTACAGGTGTTGGTACAATATATCGATCGATCATCCATGAAAATCTGCATCGTTCCCGATTTCAGAGCAATTACTTCCGACAAGGGAGGAAGTATCCCCGAGACTATAATGGCAAACGAACCAGCGAGTGTGGTCCATTCATTGGCACGCGAGGCGAGACAGAGTGAGAGAGATGTCGATAGGGTGGGGAGAACGAAAGGAGAATGAACTCGGATTACAATGAAACGCAAATAAACCCGCAAGAAAGAGAGAGACCAGTGTGCAAAGAAGACGCTACCTTCACGGGTTGAACGTGTGTAGGTCAGTAGGTAGGTCTGACCAGGGCCGACCCTGGCGAGGGTGCAAAAGGTGCCCCCGTACTTGGGATGGCCAAACCCAGAGGCGGCCGCTGATCATTTATTATACAGGGTGTCTCACCCGATTTTGACATCTTCATTTTCTCGCTATTATTGAATGGTATCGAGCGGAGCATATTCTGATGTTATTAGTTTTTTCGTGAGTAGGCGCGTAAAGGTCATATAAAGGTCAACTTTGTTTTTTTAAATGGAATGAAGTATTTTTTAATACATCAATCGATGCAGCTGAACGTTCGTTATAAAAATGTACTAACCCATGTATATCGAAAAGTTAGTAGTTCAGGAGATATTTCAAAATACCATTCGCTAGATTACTATATGAACATCGTCGAGTTGGTATTAATCAGAGGTGACAAGACGGACAAGAACCCTTCAACGAAGTAACTCGTGCTGCCCCCGAAGCCACAGTGCAATCGCATTAAAACGGGACTTCTCAACAAGTACACCACCGAAATCGATTCAACACACACCGGGATTTTCCCGGTTAATTTCGACCAACAAGTGGATGTCGGTGAATTGGTTCGAAAATTTGTCGACAATGAGAGAGGCGAGTTCGTTGGATAATGGTGGGAGAAAAACTGGTCTGGCTATCGTTCTCACCCGTGGTATAAAATCGAAGCTCTGTGAAGACCACGGAACCGTGAAATTCGTTAAAGGGGGAAACGAATCGAGCCGTTCGGAATGGGAAAACGGTGAGAGAACAGGAACAAAAAATTCATCGTATTTCATTCCCTATTCGTTCTAACGAAAGGGATGAAAACTGTCGTACCGACTAGTGCCTAGGGGACACGACCACAGACGAGATATAAGAATACAACTAACATCTTATGGGACTTGGTGTCCCACAAAAATCACGCTGGTTCGAGCGCACCTCTCCATAAAAGTTTCCGATTTCAGGAACTACGTTCGACACTCTGATAACGCACAGCACACACACACCCATTCTCTACACGAGTTATTATAGCACGGGGGACGATTTGCTCTCCTGATCCGAAGCGATAAGTCTTCGCCTCTGCTTGATCGCCGCTACGCCACGTGATCCTATTAAAGCGTTAATATCATTATCCAACCCTTGTCCGATCTGTTCTTACTCGGTGTGTCACGCATATAGTAGCTGGAACCCGTACAGAGGACTCGTGAACAAGCGTGTTTACCAAGCGTTCTCCGCACTCGCGATACCGTGCTCTCTCCCGCGTGATTGCGAGCAACAACGTGGCCCCAGAAGCCTTATCGAACGAGTTACGTGTCGCGACTTTCGCGGAAAAAAGAAAGCTCAATAAGTTCATAGAACGACCATGGAACACGGCGACCATTTCGAAGTTGTACACCTGGGCTCCGAGCGGGGAATTACTTTCCGATGCACCGAGAGCTTAAAACCTTAAAACCCCAGACCATTAAATAGTTGTTTGAAAATTATGAGACTGATATCAGTGAAACATGGTCAGTCAACATATATCTTGTTATTTTAATCTGGTTTTTCTTTATTTTTTAACGGAACACTTGAATTTCTCAACCAAAAACGCTGATATCTACTAAATTACGGGAATGCTCCGAAGCGGATCTGAGTTCGTCGCACTCATCGAGACATTACTGTACGTTGGGGTCTTTTTTCAGAGATTCCAAGGATTGAAATACTCGTCTGAGTTATTCTATTCGTAACTGACTTCGATCAACCCCGAATTGTCCCGAGTGTCGGCGAATTTCACGGCCGAAAGTGTTTCAGGGCACAAAAAAAATCATAGATCGATCCGCGGGAAATGGTTTTCATTCATCCGACTCGATTTCCGTCAGGGTTCTCGAGCTGGCACGACGCCGAAGGTCGACGTACGTCGACCAAAAGAGAGAGAGAGAGAGAGATGATCCTCGACGAATTCCTTAAAACGCCTCCACAAACTCCCAGCTCGCCGAGCAACAATCTCTCTCGAGCGGATATATACGCGAAAAGTGAAAATAAATCGATGACGCGCAGAACGTGGTATCCCAGGACTTGCCCTCCGCGTAGTAGACCAACATTCCAAACGAATCTTGCTCTCTTTTCCAGCTCGTGATTCCAAGCGTGGCAGAGTTAGTATACTTGGGAAGGTTAAACGATACACCGTGGAAACAAATATATATGTATATCCTGTTTCCTTGAACGAGAAACGTACCAGCCAAGATGGAGGAATTCGGTTAACAGGTTGAACGAGAAATATACTAGCCAAGATGGAGGATTTCACAATCGATTCTGAATGGGAACATTTAACATTTATAAATACAATTAATAGTGGACTAACAAATTTCGAAATCTTAATCGATTAATATTAATGAATTAACGCATCTTCTTGAATGACTAGAGTCTAGTCACTGGGCAATTATTTAATCCCATTGTCTGTTCGAAGGTTATTATCGCGATCTTAGATACTAGTGTGCATTTCACAATCTATTGATTCGAATAAAATTCTGCTCAACTCCGGTGACTATTTATAGGAGTGTTAAAAAATGTTGGCCAAAAAATTTCGCGAATTCATCTCACGTTCCATGGTTGAAGCAACTTCGCCCGTAGTGTTTCATGTCCTTTATCTTCATACGTAACTACTTCGACTCTAAATGCATAGCTTGTGCTACGAAGGGATCTATACAGGCGAAATGGCCGAAAATCATTCATCTTTCTGTCACGTTGATCGCGGAAGGCACGGGGGCATAGCGTGCAAACGTCGAGCACGCGGTCGCGGAACAGGCCGATGACATTAAATTCCACTATTCCCTCCGGTAATAAATCGCGTTTCTCGCGTGACGCAATAATCGTTCAACTTATGAAAACCAGGGCTA